AGCGTTGTTATAGAGCGACTGTTGAAATTAAGTGTATCGTAAAGTTATATAAAGAAAGAATAAACCAGTTTTATTTAAGAAAGGACTTGTGTCTCTAAAGTTTCGTCGGAACGAATTTAAGGAAAATTAACTAACGAACGGAGACGTAACAATATGACTGGTGCAGATAATCATAAAAAAAATATATCTGATACTAGCCATATTCAAGACACCAGTGTGGTTTCTACGTTCCCCATAAAGAATCAGATTAAATAATGGGGTCGAAGCCTCTTATTACCGCCCACTTCATGAGCATGTCTTATATATATATATGACTTACAGTTATTAACTACTAGAGGTACCATGTAAACATTTGTTCTTAAAAACTATGAGTTGACAATTTGCTAAAGTTTAAAACCACCCCTCAAAATTGTATGATTTTTCATCATTACCGCCCCCTCTATTGTTGGCATACTAGTGTAACAAAATGTGTCTTGAATTATTTCAAACTAACTGATAACAGTTGAGCTTAAAAATATTTAGAGTGTCGATAAATGTTTCTTTTTTTCATATTTTTGTTTGGAAAACAGATTATAAAGATCGTGGTAGGCTTAGAAACACGATTGCCAGTTTTCTTTGTGACGTGTGTGAAAGTCGTGTATTTTGGCAAAACAAAAGCAAAATTAAATTATAAAACCTTTGTCAACAAACAAGTCTTTTTTTGTGGATCTTAATGCTGCCTCGAAACCGGTTTTTGGCTTAGATTACAGAGACTTTCAAACGAAATAAAATATTAGTTCCTGAAGTGCTTCTCTATCCTCATAATTAGACTTTATAAAGATAATGTGCCAGAAAGTTTGAATATGTACGAAGCATGTTATCCAAACTTTCTGAAAATAGAATATCTGAGAAAAACAAAACTCAAACGTGGACGGCTTTTCGAACCAACGCCCGAGCTGTTCGGAAAGTCGTTTAATAAATTGTTCTATTAAGAATAGGTTAGGACCCCACCAGATTGGCTGGTCTGTACATTGAGCACACTTTTTCATATTCTTAGAGGTGTTAAACTGTCTGATTCTGAAACAAACTTTTGAACTTTAACAAAGTGATATTTCATGTTGTTAACGTAAACAAATTCTAGCCTTCCAATGAATACTTACAGTATTATTTATTTTAATTGAAAAAAATAATAACAAATATATCGTTTTTAAGCCGTTCACGTGTTTTAAAATAAAATTATATTATATTTCTTTATTTACTGAATTAAGAGAGGGTGAACGTTAGACACAATACATCAGTATGAGCCTAGTGAACTTTTTACTAAAATATAAATACCTCATAAGTAAAGTAGATGGATAGGAAATAAGAGTACGGAAATAGAATCTATTTTAACACTAAATGAGAAAACTAATGGTGTTTTTTTTTTACATTTCTAACAAAGAAGCTCAGCTAAAGTATACAGTATCTCGATTTAAATATTCAAAGTCTCTCACCTCACTTGGCTACACACGTATCTATTGCCTACATATTCACTAAGCGTTGCCTATTTTGTTTGTTTTATCCTAGAGTAGTGGATGAATATTAGCGTTTCGTCAGCCATTCCATGGTATATTTTTTATCATGGTAACGATAAAAGTGGTCATGCTATAGAGAATACAGATTCTATGTTGGTTTCACGTTTTACCGGCCGAAGTTTATGGTTGTTTGCATTAGAATAGGACAAAATTTGAACAACATAAACAAAAGAAATTATTTGATATTATTCAACCCATCTTTGTGTCTTCTCATTCGCAAATACATAACATTTACTTTGCCCAAAGACTCAGTTGATAAATACAAATAAACAATCTTAAAAGGTACTCTGTAAAGGTTAACACACCAGTTTTATCAAAAACACGCTTTTAAAATTTCGTCAGCCGTTTATTTAGATCAGAAACTTATGTTGTTATAGAACAATTTGTATCTGTCTGGAACTGTGATGCTTAGGTGTTAAAACTGCGGCTGCAAACCTTTTTACATACCGGATAGAAATCACAATTAAATTATTAAAAACTTCTATTGGTTTATCGCATATTGTATAAGTATAATTTACATATCAGTGTTCATCTCTTTAAGGTTAGTAGATTCCTTAAAACATTTTAAACATAAAAAGTAGAATTTATTTGATTTCTAGGCGAGTAAAACTATGGTAGTTTCTATGTTTGATTTCCGAGTTATTATGCCTCAGGAACGAGAGAAGAAATATTGTATATGTTTTTATTGTAAAGTTGATCGTATCGAAACGTAAAAGTAACACCTAGAATCTCCGAATCTTTACTGCATTGTATAAAAATATTTGATACCAATTGGTTAAGGCAAAGTTTTGGATATGAATTGTTGTCATGGCTAGTAGCCTATACGGTCACATAAAATCTAAGATAACATGAAAAATTGAAATATATGAATACATAATACAAAAATGGTTACTAATTAGACTGAGATGATCGCATAGGCTACTAACCACGACAACGATTTTGTTCTAATATCTGGTGGTAACGGTGACTTTTAAAAGTTTAACGTTGCCTTTAATTAACGTGACCTTTCTGTTTGTGGCAGGTGTTCTTGGAAACTTACGTCATGGATAGAAAGTATCGTAGTGCCATAATGGCCGGCTTTGCTTAAGTCAGACTTTTGCCAAGGGTTTCATAAACTATGCATGATTTTCAAATGTTCATAGGTGTTTGAAGCAGGTGGAATTTTGTTCTTACATAAATGTTCAGAGTTCGTTGATTGATCAGCTTTTACTGGTATCAACACTATGTTATAAGTAGAACAAAGAAACACTTCATGTTAATCACAATATCTGAAGTCTGTGTTGAAAAAACTTATGTAAACTATGTGGAGATAATGGTTTTAGTTACACGACGAAGATGCCAGGTGTTTAATTAAAAGGTTTAATTGATTAATTAATGTGCTAGACTATTACTAATTTTTACTTGTAGTTTTTAAAATTGTATATGTTAGATTTTTTATAACATTATAATTATTATTATTATTATTACTGCACTTAATAATCTGGTTCCCAAAATGAAGCCATCTACTACAAAATAGTTGAATAATTACGAAAGTGGAAATTTATGCTATACCGCCATCTGCTGGTAATTAAGGGACTTATTTCATGGAAATTTCATAGGTAAATTAATATATTTCTCGAAAGTGTTCATAAAACTAACTACTGATTTTAAATAGAAAAATAACTGGTTTGTGAATTTTCAGTAATTTAGTTATTAAGTTGTGAAATGGACTTTGTATATTTTAACTATTGTATTTTGTTCATTCGCTAACTGGTTTCATTCTTGCTCCAATTATTTAATTGTCAGTGTCGATTCAATTTAATTTTCCGAGGTTGAAGCTATGGCAACAAACTTCTCTTTTCCTACATTCATCTCTCTGTACCGCATATTGTCATAATCTAAAATGTGATTCGAAATTGGTGTTTAATATTATAGAAACCAATTATAAACTTTACTTATCAATGACTTATGATGAAGTAATTTAAGTCTTCTTTATTTTAAAACAAAGACATTGTTTCCTTCATATTAACATTTTATATGTTAACAAAATTAGCATCGTTTTTCAGACTTTGCATTAGACGATTTTTACGATTTTATACTTATTTTATTTTGCTCTTTTACAGTTACGGCAAACAATCTAAGCAAATCCTTCCCGATAGCTTCTTCCGATTCAGATCTTTCGCGATATAGAACTCATCAACATCGTGCTCAGTCACCGTCATTAAGTAACCTGACAACAGAGGGCGTTAGTAGACAGAAGGATAATAGCCATTCGTCAAATACATCCAAGTTTTTGCGAGAGATGCAGACACATAGTAAACATCACATGGGCGAGAAAGTTGCTCAGGTACTGTTGCTTTATTTGAACTTCTTTAATCACCAATAATTAACTTTTTTTTTTAGAAAGGTAACACTCATATTTAAGAGTTTGTTCATATGAGCGTCTCTCTGTTCACATTTGAGCTTTCAAATTTACGAAACTTAATAAAATTAATACGTTAGGCTAATTCTGACTGGGAATAGGACAACTATCTTATCAAATATTGCTTCATACAATGAAATCCAATTCGATCGTATATTAATTTTTCGGCCAATTTGATAATAATATATCATTTCCACATCGAGGGTTTATTACCTAAGAATATTAGGCAAGCATGATACTAATTGCACATTGGTATTGCGTCGTCTATCTCACCAGACAGTGTTTTATACTAGCTTCTAAACATAGTCATGCGCAGAACCCTGGTAGTTCTAACATGGAGATGGTCATTATGCAGTTAATATAAATCATGCCCACTCGTTGTATTGTTACTGTGTGCTACGGGTGGTCTATAGAACAGTAACGATATCAACGGAAGGCACAATCCACACAACGTGCCTCATTCCCTTAAAGGGCCTGCAACAAAGAAATTTTTGGTGACGTTTCGAGTTGATGAAGATCTGAGTTGGCAACTTGAAACGTCGTCTAAAACTTCCTATGCAGAGTCTATTAACAACGTCTTTCAACTCTACTCTGTTCCAACTAAGCCTTTTTTCAAGCAACTAAATATTTTAGGACAAAGATAAGTATTATCATTCCTTTTTATGCATCAGTTATACATTTATACTAATGAGTTTCTGAAAATCAAGTAAATGTATTTACAGTATGCGGAACCTTGAGTACGCTAACTCTACTAATTAAATAATTAGTATTCCGCTAAAATTGAACATTCTATTTCAATAACCAGTTCAAAAGATACAACAATGAACATTATATTTATGTTAATTCAGAATTCTGGGATTAACATTTGTTTCTTGTTTAATGCAACTGATAGTTTTAATGTTTTGTTTTAATCTGGGATCGAGAAACAGTTTATTCCAACAAACGTATGTCAGCCTATGGTGTATAAATCATAAACAACACCAATATACGACAAATCGTATTTTATATTAGTCCTGAAATACATTCTACCATGATATACAATACGCAGGTGACGTTTCGCTTAGTGATTTGGTATATTTGTTAGAACTAGGGATCACACAAATAGTAGTTTTAGTTGTATATCCTGATATCCGACAGGATTCGGATCTTTTTTGGATCGGATAGTATATATGTGACCATACATATTGAAAGTGCGTCTCAGGCATGGGCTTCAACTTTATTATAGTGTAGTATTAAACTAATTATTTCGTCATTCTTTTCTTTTTAATTTAATAACGATGTGCATGAAAATGTTTTGTACGAGTGAGTGGCCGACAGATGCAATCCATTAACATCGCCTTTCAAATATATGTTTTATAATTTTAATTTCTATCCAGAGATGGCACTGCTTTTGGCACAATGGTGGGGAAGGTTATGTAAAATAACTAGCAAGAATATACGGACTTTTTTCGGTATCGTTATTTCAATATGTGCAAGATTATTTACTTTGGTCGTGTTTGGCAGTAATATGTAACGCAAAATTTTTTTCTAGAAAACCAATATGTGAAAACAAATATACGTTGAAGTTAACATGAATGGTTGTAGCTTTTGTAATGGTTAACAACACTGAATCCAACGCCATCTGTCTACGCTAGCCGATCCTATTTTTAAGATGGTAGACTAGAGGGCAGACATTTAGCTAGTCAACACCCCTCACCACCAATTTGTGGGCTACCCTAATCGAATAGTGGGATTTGATCGTCACTTTTATAACTCATAAAAGTTTGCAGAGTTTGCGAGTGCAATATTTTTTTTCCCCCCACGGTAAAAAGACGTCAATCACGGAGCTTCAAATTTCCAATCCGGCACACTAGTCACTGGGCCACACTCGGCCCGAACTTCTTGAAATACTATGTTGTTAGTTTATTTTTATGATTATCATTTCAAAAGGAAAAACCAAAAATTTTAGTAAATTTTAATTTTCCTGGCCTACTTTTGTAGTATCACTCGTAAAAAAACAAAACAAACAAAGAAAACACTATAAAACAATTGAACGACATTTAGCATTGTTGAATTCTTTTATACGAATCGTAACGAAATAATCCTGTTTTATTAATTAGATGGAATATTTCAACAACATCAAGAAGCTCACGCATTTGCAAATAAGAACTGCTGAGCTGTTAATATTTGAACTTCAAGTGTATGCCAATACTTTCTCCATGTTAATAGTCCTAACAACTACAACTTTGACTAGCGTGTTTCTAAACAACTTATTTGAAGTCTGGCGCCCTGATTTAAACTAACTGACTAAAGTTTGTAATTGATACCACTAATATCCAAACAATTATATCGATTATACAGTTGAACTTTTCATTAATTTTAAAGAAGCTAAATAATTTTAAAAAAAAGTATGAAGATGCGTGTTTTAATTTTTTTTTCGTACTGGCCTCTAACTATTTGGGAGCGAGTGACGTGCTCCAGATTGTCATTATGAGCTTTTTTTGTTGAGGAACGTCTTTCTCTAATAAATTACCTGCTGGACAGGAAGTGTTGCGTACACGGGTTGCAGATACTTTGGGTAATGGACCCTTGACATTCTCTATTAGGATCGGTACACTTAACGATAAAGGGTACAGGTAATTCAATTTAAGATAATCTCTTTCTCAAGTGACCATCAACATTTGCTAGTGATACCATTAGTTAGTGAGACGATGGTTATGAACCTGAAAGTAAAGGTGCAAATGATTAGAAGATCAGCTGACATGGAAAGAGAGATAAGCCTGTTTGATGGCGGAACAGACAATGAATCGCTCTCTGATCTTCGTTATCGTCTATCGCCCTTTTCAGTCAAAAAGAAAGTTAGTTCTACCCCATGTTACTAGTGGTAACTGAAAACAGCAGCGGACAGAAAAGGATGATAAATATGGTCAGAAGGTATTGTTTGTTTGTTTTTGAATTTCGCGCAAAGCTAGACGAGGGCTATCTGCGCTAGCCGTCCCTAATTTAGCAGTGTAAGACTAGAGGGAAGGCAGCTAGCCATCACCACCCACCGCCAACTCTTGGGCTACTCTTTTACCAACGAATAGTGGGATTGACCGTCACATTATAACGCCCCCACGGCTGAAAGGGCGAGCATGTTTGGTGGGACGAGGACTCGAACCCGCGACCCGCAGATTGCGAGTCGAGTGCCCTACCCACCTGGCCATGCCGGGCCGGTCAGAAGGTGATAGATAACAGAAACTTCCTGTGAAGATTAGCATAACAGTAATACGGAAAGAAAGGAAAGAAGAACAACAAATAAAAATAGCAGCGAAGATAAAGAGCGATAGGAGTGTAATAGGAATAACATGGAAGAACACAAGTGTAGTGTCGAACATAGAATAACATTGAAATAAAGAAGCGTTGTGTGGGTAAAATAAGACAGAAGTTTGAAAGAGATAACAATAACCTATCAGAAATGTGTTATAAGGACAGCATTGATAAAAGGAACGCAGAAGAATGAATATCTGATACGATTAGTGCAGAAGAACGAAACTATGATAAACATTACACAGATGTACAACTGGGATAAAACAGAAGAGAATTATAATAGAGACAACACAGAGAATCAAAACAACAGAGAAGTTAAAAACAGAATGACAGCAGGGACAGCATAGAATCAAAACAGAATCATTATAGACAAAAAAAAAGGGGGGACTAAAAGATAATTATAATAGAGACAACACAGAGGACCAAAACAGAACTACAGCGGGGACACCATAGAATCAAAACAGAATTATTATAGAGACAACATAGGGGACTAAAATATAATTATAATAGAGACAACACAGAGGACCAAAACAGAACTACGGCGGGGACACCATAGAATCAAAACAGAATTATTATAGAGACAACATAGGGGACTAAAATATAATTATAATAGAGACAACACAGAGGACCAAAACACAGCTACAGCGGGGATACCATAGAATCAAAATATAATTATAATAGAGTCAACACAGAGGACCAAAACAGAACTACAGCGGGGACACCATAGAATCAAAACAGAATTATTATACAGACAACATAGGGGACTAAAGATAATTATAATACAGACAACATAGGGGACTAAAATATAATTATAATAGGAAGAACACAGAGGACCAAAAAGAGATAGGAACAAATAATCCCAACGAAATATTGAAGTTAAATCAGAAGAATTTTATTTAAAATAAAACAGTACAGATAGTCATAAAATCACCATCAGTATCACAGAAGAACGATGAAATAATGAAGTCACAGAAAGACGAAACTATAAGAAAGGGTATAATGTTACAAAGGATAAGATAAGTAATAGAGGATGTGTTGGAGATAAAGCGAAACGCTAACGGGAAAATAACGATATTACTGGAGTAGTCAAAATTAATTACTGGATCATCAAGAGAATGTGACGCAACAAGCCATTAATAAAGAAAACTCCGAAGAAATTCAAATTCGAAATGGATTGGAGGAAGACATAAGCAACAGTGAAGGAGCTGCTGAAGTTCAATGTAGACCATTTGATAAGGTCAAGGGTTAAGTAGCCACAGCGACGAATGTACATAAATTAAAGGAAAATTAAAATGACAGACAAACCTGTATCTAGCTTGTTTGAAAATGTTGCCCAGGGTAATTTTTCTTAAAAGAAAATATTAATTCAATGTGTGGATGAAGAATGCAATTGTATTCAAGTGGATAAGTGTCATAAGTGTCACGTGCCACTTGTTAAAAAAAAACAACGAAAAGACTCTCATGATATCTACAATTCAGCTGTGTCAACTCCAGTTTGCAAGGACAAAACATGGGTTGTAATAGGAGAAGAAAAAGTTCTATAGCCTTACACTTACATAGAAACGGTGTTTCCGACGTTACGTACCTTAAAGACAACCAACGGCCAGTCTACACAGACGTCAATAGTCTCCACAATA